TAGCTGAATAATACTCCATTGTGTAAAAATACCACATCTTTCTCAACCATTCCTCAGGTGATGGGCATCTCTGAGTTTGGTTTTCTCTTCCTTTTTTTAGAGAACTATTTCTGAAATGAATACATAACATGAGATTAATAATAGATTGCACAAAAAATAATAGATTGCACATTATTTTTTTAACCTTAATTGTTCAATTTTATTTCAAACTTTCATAGTTTTTATTTTCATGATACACCGTTAATTTTGTCAAAATTTAAGGCAACTACTTGATAATTCCCCTGCAGAAATTCAAACTGAAATCTTGAGCAAACCTTGTTAGAGTTATGACACATTCTGCTATCCCCTACACTGTCGCGAGTGACAGCCACACTAACAGGCTTCACTGCCAGGTCTATGCTGAGTGACTGGGGAGGGACAGCTCATCCCCACCCCCCAATAATAGCTCATTCCTGACATAGTGGATATACAATGAAACTTTTTTTTAATTTTTGAGACAGGGTCCCACTATGCAGTTCAGGCTGGCCTTGAGCTCACTTTGTAGCCCAGGCTGGTCTGGAACTGGCAATGATCCTTCTGCCTCAGCCTCTCAAGTGCTGAGATTATAGGCAAGTACCACCACCTAGCTATAATAAGCTTTTTTTTCTTTTTGGTGGAATCGGGGATTGAACTCAGGCCCTTGTGCTTGCCAGGCAAGTGCTTATTCTACTGAGCTATCTCCCTGGCCCCTACAATAAACTTCTAAAAGTTAAAAAAAAAAAAAAAAAAAAAAGAGAGAGAAAGTCTATCATCTCAGCACTCAGGAGTTTGCAGCAGGAGGATTGCCTTTAAGTTCAAGGGCAGCCTCGGCTCATTAGTTGGTTTAAAGCCATCCTGGATTAAGCACAGACATTCTTTCAAAAACTACACAGCTGGGACACCAGTGGAAAAAATGTTATCTTGTTCCCTTCACCACTGGGTGGAACCTGAGTTCCAGCAACTGGAGGGGGTGGTCAAAGCACAGCCATTCCTACCACGCACGTGCCACAACTGGGGAAGTATGTGACCCTGCATAGAAGCCAGGTTCCTCACTCTGTGCTGACTCACATTAGGGGCCAGGGAGATGGTTCAGCAGATGACTCAGTGGAATAAGCACTTCCCTGGCAAGCTCAAGGGCCTGACTTCAATCCCTGATTCTGCAAAAAAGAAGAAGAAGAAGAAGAAGAAGAAGAAGAAGAAGAAGAAGAAGAAGAAGAAGAAGAAGAAGAAGAAGAAGAAGAAATTTTATCTAGACGTGCACCTGACTGGCGCTCGGGGCTGGTATTCACCGCACAGATTAGCCCCAGAGGTCTCTTCTGCCCCGAAAATGTGACCTGGTAGACACAGAAGCCGTGCCCATGCGCGCCTCTCTCCTAAGGGCCTGGGTTTAAAGTGGCTTTAAGGAATTCATAGCTGTCAAGATGGCTTAATTCTTTGTGAGGAAGTCCTGAATTTTTATTTTCAAACAGCTTTTGTTTTGTCACTTTTATCAGTAGCTCTTTGGTTTTCCTGACTTGTTTCTTTAAGAACATAAAGGAGGTGCCCATGAGATTTTCAAACTCCTTGTTGCCCTCCTCTAAGGCCTGTGGGGCTGGCGGCCGGATGGGTTTCTCTCCTGTTCTTTTGCACAGACCGGCAGCAGAGTACGAGAGATTATGCAAAGATACGTAAATAAAGTGAAAAAGCCGACCTGTAGGCTCCTTAGGTTTCGTCTTCATAATTTCCTCCGTCGATTTCTCAACTTCGGAGAAGGTCACCAGTTCATCACTGTCTTTTGGTGGACATCCCTTTCTTTCTGCTACACTGAGGTGACCCAGTTGTTTTCTCGTCCCGTTTGATGGTCTATTTTTATACTTCCATTTTTTTAGAGCTTGTAGGAGAAGAAAATGGGCTCCTCGGACAAGTTCCAGTTGTCAGAGAGTAAGCTGTAATACTTTTCTTCTTTCTGACTTTTGAAGGATCAAATGAGGCATTTCAGGGTTCGCAAGGGGCCACTGCTGCTGAGAAAGGGAACTGACGCGCCTCTTTTACACTCGCCCCACCAGCCCAGGAGGTCTCCGAGCTAGATTGCACACCGTAAAAAATTATTTACAAACTTAAATGAACGTAATGAAAATTGCCTAAAATAAAAACGAAGAATTTACAGATCGGTCATACAATCATTCGCTCTGTGCCAAAATCAAGAAACTTACATAATTAGAATTCTCAAAGTAGAAGGGGGTAGGCAACAAATACTTAAAGATTTAAAATTTCTGAATTTATGAATGTCCATTTTGTATCTGTGTATTCAAAGTGGTTGGGATAGATATATAGTT